GCTCTTTTCCTGTTTGATGACCCGTCGACGTAGAGGTTCCAAGTCGACAGGTTCTGAATACCTTCTTGCATGGCTTCTCTAGGCTGTTGCTCGCTTGAGAGATAGGAAAATTCCAAGATGAAGTAGACAACAGCCTACCCTTTAATGGTCGACCTGGGCTTGTACTTTAGGTCGAACTAGCTCAATTCTATGGCCCATTTGAGCAGTTTATCCGAGGCTTCTGGCTTCTGAAGGACCTATCTGAGGGGGTAATTTGTCATTACATTGATTGTATGGGCATGGATGTAAGGTCGCAGCTTTCTGGACGCGACCAGCAGAGCAAAAGCTAGTCGCTTCATTTTCGGATACCGCATCTCGACATCCGATAGCCGCTTACTTGCATAATATACTGGCCACTGAGCCTTTTCCTCTTCCCGTATTAAAGCTGCACTGACCGCGAACTGGGAGACGGACAGGTAGATGAGCAGGATTTCCTGTGGAAGAGGCTTAGAGAGGAGAGGTGGTTTCCCAATGTGTTCTTTTATACTCTGGAACGCCTGCTCGCATTCGGGAGTCCATTCGAATTTCTTATTGGCCTTCAGAACATTGAAGAATGGTAAACAGCGGTCTGTTAGCCTTGATATGAAGCGACTAAGTGCCGCTACCCGCCCGTTCAGACTCATGACCTGCTTTTTGCTGGTCGGGCTCTCTATATCGAGCAGAGCTTGAATCTTCTCGGGGTTTATTTCTATGCCTCGCTGATTGACCATATATCCCAGGAACTTTCCTGATGATACCCCGAATGAACATTTGAGAGGGTTCAGCTTCATTCTGTAGAGTCGGAGTATGTCAAACATCTCTATGAGGTGCGCAATATGTTCTGAGGCGACCTGGGATTTGACCAGCATGTCGTCCATATAGACCTCCATCGTCCTTCCAATCTGGTCAGAGAACATTCGATTGACCAACCTCTGATAGGTCGCACCCGCATTCTTGAGGCCGAAGGGCATGACTTTGTAACAGTATAGCCCCCGGTCCATAACGAAGGTCGTATGCTCCTCATCTGGTCTATACATCGGGATTTGATTGTATCCCGAGTATGCATCCATGAAGCTCAACAGCTTGTGCCCCGAGGTGGCATCAACGAGCTGGTCGATTCTCAGCAGGGGGAAGCTATCTTTCGGACAAGCTTTGTTGAGGTCGCTGAAGTCTACGCAGGTCCGCCACTTGCCATTCGGCTTCTTTACTAGGACCGGGTTGGCAACCCAGGTCAGGTAGAGAGCCTCATGAATGGATCCATTTCGGAGAAGGTTCTCCACTTCTGATTTTAGTGCGGCGTACCGCTCCGGATCCATCGCCCTTCTTTTTTGGCGAACTGGTTTGGCTTCACTACTGACGTTCAATGAATGGCAAATAATGTCCGGGCTGATCCCGACCATATCGGCGTGCGACCAGGCAAACACGTCAATGTTTTCCTTTAAGAAGCTTGTCAGTTCGGCAGCGAGCTGAGGGTTGAGACAGCTTCCAATCTTTAACACTCAGCTCGGCTCTTTCGGATCAACCGAAACTTCGGACAGATCCTCAGCCGGGCCGCTGCGGGGGATTTCCTGAATTTGCAGATCTATGTTATCCTCCACTGGGCCAGGCTGTGGCTCAATCCGGCTGATCGCCATAGCCTGGCAGGGCATGCATCGCGAGATGCCCTTTCCCTTGTCGGCCATTTGGACCGCTTTTACATAGCATTCGCGAGATGCGCTCTACGATCCGCTTACTTCGCCCATCCCCGTTGGAGTGGGGAACTTCATCTTGAGATGATAAATGGAAGTGACCGCCCTGAAGGTTCTCAGCAGAGGTCGCCCCAAGATTCCATTAAAGGCCGATGGGCATTCCACGACCAAAAATTTAGTAACCCTAGTCACCTCGTCGTAGTCACCGAGTGTGACTTGTAGCTGGATCGTTCCTTTGGGGATTAGGTGATCCCCTGTAAAACCGTACAGAGGCATTGAGGCTGGCTTCAAGTCGGCCTCGGCTAGGTTCACTCTATTGAAAGAGGACTTGAACAGGATGTTTATAGCACTTCCGTTGTCTACAAGCATTTTGCAGACATTATGACACCCTATCAGGGGCGTGATCACCAGAGCATCCTCATGAGGATGGTGCAAGCGAGCTGCCTCCTTCTCGCAGAAGGTAATCGGTTCCTCCTTTCTGGTTTTTTGAGGTCGCTGCGAAGTGTTCATTATCCTGATCGGGTCGTGATGCGCTTTGCGAGCATACCTTTCCTGCGCTCCTCGCGTGTTTCCTGCGAGGTGCGGACCTCCGAAAATTATGTTCACACTGCTGTACCCGTTGCGATTGTTCCTTTGGGGATCAGGTGATCCCCTGTACTCCTTGAAGTGCCCCTTCTTGATGAGCTATTCGATAGCCTGCTTTAGAGCTTGGCATTCATCAGTGTGATGCCCGTTATCCCGATGGTAACGGCAGTATTTTTTGTTGTTTCTGGCCGTAGCAGGGGTTTTCATGGGTTCGGGCTCACCGAGCAAGCTGGCCTCCTCGGATTTGTCGAGGATTGCAGATATGGACACATTCAGCGGAGTGTATTGAGTCATGTCGCGGTCGCGACGAGGAACAGGGGCATAGGACTTTTTCTGTTCATAGCGGGGTTTCTTCCCTTTTCGCTGATAGTCAATGTCTCCTTTGCGATCAGCTCTCCTATTATCTCCCCGACCATACATACTGCTGGAAGTGCCGTGATCGCGACGGCGGAGTGCCGCCAATGAATTCTCTATTCGGAGATACTTTTCTGCCAGGTTGTAGAATCTGGTGAGGGAAATATCGTCCTCAGCCTGCAGTTCTTTCCACAGGTCGGTTTGCGGGCGAACTCCAGCTATTATAAGTGTTCGGATGGACTCTTCTGGAGCGTGGGCCACCTTGTTGAGTTCCCTGTGGAAACGGTCAATGTAAGATTGCAGGGATTCGTCTCTTTCTTGCCTTATGTTGCTGAGGTAGCTCAAAGGCATCGAAAACTTCCGATTGGCTTGGAAATGCCGCAGGAACGTCGTGCTCATCTGAGGCCACGAACTAATCGATCCCGCCGGGAGCGACCTTAACCACCGCTTGGCGTGAGAAGTCAGCGTCACGGTCAAACAACGGCATTTTGCAAGGTCCGAAACCTGGTGGAGCTTCATCAGGTCGTTGAACTCATATAAGTGATCCTGTGGATCATAGTTCCCATCAAACGGCCGCATATCTGGCATTATGAACCCTGGTGGAAGTGGAGCAGCTAGCACTTCGGGAGAAAAAGGGGATGCAGAGGCGACCTGCGCCTGTTCATTTTGCTGCTCCCTTAACCTGTCCAGAGCTCGCTGTAGCTCCTCAATTTGTGGTAACGGAGCCAACTGGGGATTGCTTTCACCCGTGCGAGTCCGGCCTTCTCGATTTCGTTTTAGGAAGGTCCTGAGGTCGGATTCCTCCTCTCCTCGGCCTTTATTTTCGGCCGCACTCGACACACGCTGACTAGAGGCGTGTGAAGGCGGTGGATTGTGCGGGGCATTTTCACGACCCTCGCGGTGGTACGAACCGCCGTGCTAGGTGTGGGGGCCACCCGCATGATAACGATCGGGGTCGTTCTGCTGGTGGTGATAGGAATCATCGCGCCCAGCATTTTCGCTTGGGTTTGCCTGCGACGTGGCATGCGACAGCTCGGGATTCACTTTTTCGCCGAGTCTCAGCTTTGCCGATACCCTGCTCGGGGCACCTTTTGTGTTCGCTGGTCCTTGGGAGCCCGTATGCTTACTTTTTGCCACTTGCTTACCCTTGCGCCTATGCGCTGCAGTGCTCGCGGCACGGGCTATTGCCCTTTGTCTCGCTTTCGTGCGACCTGCAGGCGTCTTTGGCGGTTGTACCGCCCCGGCTGTCGTAGAAGACATGCCTTGGTCCAAACGGTCCAGCCTCTGGTTGACCGTCTGGAGAGTATTGTCGAACCTCTCCAGGTAGCTTCTGATGGCAGGGTCGAGTTGCGGAGCCGCCGGGATATCCCCCGCAGCATTTTGCGAAACTGGAGGTACGTTGGAAGGGGCATCCCTCTAGGCTTGGGGGACTCCTTCAGCACGCTGGTTGACTTGCTCAGGTTCAGATTGGCAGGCCATTTGTAGTTGTGGGACCAGTGGGTCGAAGATTCTCCTGATGAAGGGTAGACACTAAATCAGCCCTCCTTCTAGCGCCAAACTGTTGATGCTAGATTTTGGCACCAACTAATTATCACGTGCGCAGCGTTGATTGGTCAAAAAGCACACGCGATAATGAATATAGAAAGCGAAATAAATGCTATGAGAGCTTTTAAAGTGGTTCGGATGCTAAGGTAGCAAATCCTACGTCTACTGATTTGTATTGATATTGATAGTGTGGGTCAGGTCGCAACAGCGGACTGACTTACCAAAGATTTAGAAAAAAGTAAATGTGTTGTTTACAAGAGAGAGAGAGTTTTTTTGTGTAAAAATGGCCGAATCCCCTTAATGAAGGGGTCTTCTTCATTTTATATCAAGCTGAAGTGTGTAATCATCATTAAATCCATGGGTTGGTGTGATTGTCAGGATCTAATCTGATTTTACGTCCCATTACCCATTTTCCAAGCCGATTTCACGTGATTTGGAGCAGGTTAGCGGACACGTGGGAGCACCAGGGCGTTTGACAAGCCTGACGTGCGCTTACCGTTCTGACGGGAGCAGGCCACGTTTCGTCACGCAACTCCACGTCAGCCTTTGATTTCTTAGTCATAACAATATGCATAAATGCTAAAGCTTCATCCAAATGTGTAACTCTAGTTGGAATTGGTGACCACTTCATCAATAAGGAGTTAGTCTATAAGGGGCGGCACACATGAGGTCATAAACACATTATTCTTGTATGATTGATATAAGAATTCGTAGCATACATTCATTGTACCCGGAGATGTGAGAAAATATTGCAATAAAATTGACTTTGGACATAAACCCATTTTTTTTCCAAATACTTTCTAGATTGTTTCAGCTTTAACAATTTTGAACAAATAAATAATAATTTGAAAAAAGAATGTACCAGCTCTCATTGAAGATCTTGTCATGGTGTAACAAGAACAAAGGAGCAACAGAGCCTCCCTCTTGATTTTTAACAAGGAATTTGCAAATGGGTGCGGCACCGTAGACTCTCTCAACTTCTCCGTCCTCTCCCGTTCTGACGGAGCACTTTAGTATATCGTAGCTCGCCAAGAGCCGTAGCACACGGTCGACCAAGACGGGCGCGTCAGGGTTCTTGGTGACAATCCTGGTGGCGATCTCCGAAGTTGAGAGGAAGGCGTCGTCCGCAGAGGCAGAGATGATGTCTATGAGGTTGAGCTCGAGGGCTGATTTGAGGACCATCGGAAGAATCACGGCGTTGGCTAACCTGATGGCTAGCTTGCCCACTTCTTCTTCCTCTCGAGGTTGCGACATGTCGTTTTAGTGATAAGAGCGGAAGGGAATTTTATGAGTGAATAGTGATCATCAGTGAGCGAGCGAGCGAGCGCGAGTTTAGTAAAGGAATCGTGTCCTCGTTGGCAGTCTGCAGTCTGCACCAAAGAGTCTTTAGAAAATCACAAGCACACACACACGTAACAAGGTCAACATAATAGTACATTCCAATGCATTTTATTTTGTTTCCAACTTTAATATCCTTTTCTTATATACTACACTTCCATATAAATTTTACAAAGATATCTATATAAAGTAATATGACACACTTACATATAAATTTTACAAAGATATCTATATAAAGTAATATGACCAAAAAAAAAAGAGTAAATTTAATAAGTTTAACTTTTTGTTTCATTTTTTTATTCATTTTTTATTATCTCACTTTATATAAAAATCTTTATAAAATTTCTTTATAAGTATAGTATTATTGTTTCTTATTATATACCCCTCTCCTATTTTATCATTTAGTGAAAGACCTTGGGGTTGGGGAGGATCATGTTTGTTTTTACTTTTTACTCTTCTGAACTTGGAGTTACTGCTGTTACAAATTTCAGCTTCCAAATTCCAATGCATTTTATTTAGGCCGCTATGATACACTATTTTTTTTTTTAAAGTAGTAGGATTAGTAAAAGAGTAAACCACATCTACAACTTCTTCTTATAAATTTTTTCTTACAATATAACGTGATGGTTCATAATTAGTTTATTACAGTTTATCAAGTAGGATTCATTACAAATTAATTACAATCTATCACATCATGATTATAAAAAGAAATTTGTAAGAAGAAGTTATAGATGTAACATTTTTCTTTGTAAAATCATATTCTTAATATATTTTAGGATAAGATTCTAATAATGTGTTCGGTACATTATTAGAAAATATTTTCTGAAAATATGTAGATTATATTTTAACCTCTTATATTTATTAATTTAATTAAACAACCGCCTATAATAAAAGTTCACAATTAAATGATGTCAAACTTAGTTTCCATATAACTTTAATATCTTCTCACTAAGTTTAATATGGGCTTAAAGTTAAAGTATCTCAAAAATATGTTGGGCATAAATTTCTGAAGGCCTTAAAAATTGGACCGATCCTTGTAATGATACAACCACTCCCTTTAAGTATCGAAACTACCATCAATTACGTTATTGCATTTATTTGCAATATGTTTATTTATCGAAACTACCATCTCTATAATCCCAAGCGATTGGCATGATTGTAGACATCAAAATCTATCTATACGGAAAGAGGGACTGATCCCGTGAGGTTGAGGCCACTAGCGATCTGCTGTACCTGCACACATAGAGAAACAAACATGAAACGACGGAAAAAACCGGGGTGGTGTTTTCCGTAGGCACTCCGACGCTCAAGTCAATAAGACTGGAAGAGGTTGATTTAGTGAGGGCTAGGGAGTAGAGAGATTATCAGAAGTCTAGTCGGGAACTGTGACTACGGCTGTAATGTGAAGTTCTCAAGTTAGAACTCCAAGGTCTGAAGGTGTAATGTAATGTGCCTTGTGAGAGGGCTGACCTCTATTTAAATAGTGATTGTCTGGTCTCCCAATCCTGGGGGGATTGGGAGTTCTCGTAGCAATCTGTTTCCTCTAGGGATATATCCTTTGGCCCCCCTTATCCTGGCGTGAGAGGGAGTTCAAGTATGACTCTGACACAGACCTTGGAGGAGTTGGGATGGTAGTGGATTACTTTCAGTGTTTGAGTAGGAGTGTGATCCGTAGGTGACCGTGGGCTCTGAACTTTTCCATAGGCCCAGGAGATGTACTGGGGTTGGGAGGCTTGGGTCCAGATGGTTTGGGCCGACTGTACTTCGTGGGGCATGGGTCTCATCTGGGGAATTCTGGCTCGGGCCGCATCGGGACTAGGCCTAGGTTTTCCTCTTTGACTGAAGTGTTATCTTATTTGGGTCGAGAACAATTTTTGGCCCTAACAATGACGATCAAGAAGGTTTGCTCACTTCAATTCATTGAAGGCTTATAGGATGTTTAATAAACTCCGAAGATTAGTCAAAATGTATACAAACTGACCCAGCCATCCAAAAAAAAAGAAAAAAAAGACTATCATCTCCATTACTCTATGTCGGGTAGAAAATGGGCAAACTTTGCACCTATTTGGGGCCGTTTGGATGAGGTTAATATTAGATAACTGAGGTAATATTTTTTAAATTGAGTAGATAAAGATGTTTGGTTAGTTTGTAAAAAAATATTCTCAGAATATTTTTTGACAAACAGTAGAATTTGGGGGGTATATTATCAGGAATCTTAATACCTAGGGGGGAGGGGGGGTTGCTGTTATTAAAACTTATCCCTGGGAATACAATTTTGTTTCCCATGTTGCCCCTAGACAGTTGAGCATTTGGTCCAAATTAGCTTTATATTTGTTAACAGTTACAAAACACCAAATTCACTTATGCAGAAACTTTTGTCCTCGTTTTTTAAATTTTTCAAACAACATTGCCCTTATTATTGTCATTATTTACAAAAATGTCATTATACTTAGAACTAGTCACCACTGCCAGCCACCATAGACCGCCGCCGGAGGTCGCCACAAATGGCCATAATGGCATACGACAAGCCATGCACCGGTGAGGCTTTTCCCAACCATGGATCACAAATCCAAGGTCAAAAGAGGCCAGATTTGGCTGTTTCACGACCAAAGATGTAGCTGTGAAACAGCCATAGATCTGGCCATGAAAAATTGGGGGTTAAAAAAATATTCATAACAATAATAATAAAAAATATTGTCATATTAATATTAAAAATGTGGGCAATTTAGTAATCTATATAGTATATCAACGTATTTATCCTCCAATCAAACATATTATTCACTAATTTATTCGAACCAACCAAGTACATTTTCTAAATATTCTTAATAATCTTCAAGTTGATCTTTTATTCTGTTAATATAATATTTTTCTATAATAAAATATTATATGATCCATCTGTTCCTTTCAAGTAAATAATATAATATAGAGTGTCCACTAAGTTGTTGTTCTACTGAAGTCCATGTGCAATGTGTCCAGTGTCCTTGAATTATTGGTCAATAGTGGGCCAATGGCCCAATTTTGTTAAGAAAGTAAGAATCCACTTTCAAATCATCACCATCCTTTCTGTAAACATGTGGGATTCCCAAATGAAAAAGAGTAGTATTTCATTACTTTTTAATTCTTAATGGATATATCTTCACAATAACAAAGTCAAACACTAAACCAAGGTAAATAAACAGTCGAATGATGAGAGTTTGAGAGATAAAGATAACGCTTCATAGATACTGTTTTGGCAGTTGGATGTCAGGTTTTTAATAGTGAGAGTTGATGTGATGATACATAAATGAAATTCACATGTTTTCTAAATGGAGCCTTTGAATTTTCACGCTTTGGGATCCCTTTTCTCATCTTTATAACCTTCACCTTTGACCTTAGCATTAGATGTGAATATATTATATCATGATTAAAAATAATTTCAATATTTAGATTTAGAATCTTGACTTGACAATGTTTTCAATATCTATAACTATAAATAAAATTAAAAAAAAAATAAGTGATGAGGACTAAAATGAAATCAATGATTGATATTCCCACTTCACAATAATTAATAAGAAAGGAAAAATTTATCTGCCCGTCAGTATCAAAATCTTTAAGCAAATACTGTTTATTAGGACACCTTCCAGTTGTTACAGATATGGGCCAGGAACAGAATTGTTCAATCATTAATGTTGTGTCTAATTTCTTGTCGAGCAGATTTGTACCACGCGTCCTCAAGGTGTGTCAAAACTGATGGCTTGGATCCTCTCACGTATTGTCTCATCAATGCTTGTCTTCTATCAAGGTTATTACTGTAAAAGGGTGGGTTAAGTTACCATTCGCATGACCTGGCCTTCACAAATACGAAGATTACTTACTCAATGTACTAATTATGGCATAATACTCACTCCCAAATACTGCCAGTGGAGCCAAGTATAAAAGAATCTCACGACCTCTGTTTGAGGATTCCAATATTAGTAAAGTCCAGGAGAAAAATACAATGGTATGTTCTAGTGAGAGTTTAAAGAGAATAAGTCATGAGAGTTGAGTGCCCTTCATTTATCTCACGAGCTTGTTGGATATGATTCATATTTTGCATGGGCTTAAAGTCTCTTACGTAGACGCATTCAGATTAGATTCAGGTAAGTCTAAATGGGATAGGGTTTTTTATCGTATGATGTAATAGTGAGAAACTAACTGCATGTTTGGCTTAATATTTTTATCCCTATTCTGGATCCTATTCTCCAAATAATGTTTGGCACATTATTCCAGAAATATTATCCTATTTTTTTAATTACATTTAAACCCCATAAGGTTATTAATTTCACTAAATACCCCCTAAAAAAAAGTTTAAAAATTAACAAAAACACCCCCATGAACCCAACTTGTCAGATTCCGACAACCACCGTCGGTGATAGCCAGAATCTGTACAACGGCCTAACTTCCGACCAGAAATGGCCGGAAGTTCACCGCTGTGGCCTTTTCTGGCCAGATCCACCACGGATCTGGCCGGAAAAGGCCAGATCTGGCCGTCAGCGACGGCCAAAGAAATGGCCGTCATTGACCGAAAACACGGCCAAAGATGGCCCTCGTTTGGCCTTTTCCGGCCGTCGACGGCCATAACAGACCGTAGATCTGGCCTTTTCCGGAAAGATCCACCATAGATCTGACCGGAAAAGGCCATAACGACGTGTTACGGCACCGTAACAAAATTTTCCGGCCAGATTCCGGCGGTGGTGGCCGGAATCTGACACTGTAGGTGGTGGGGGTGTTTTTGTCATTTTATATGTTAGGGTCTTTAGTTAAATTAGTAAACCTAAGGGCTTTTTCACAAATTTTTAAAATTTACCTCGTAATACTCCCCTATCCAATAACCCAATACTATCCCTAAAATCCTATCCAAAATACTAAACCAAACGCACCCCAAGATTTTAAGATAA